CTTTTTTTTGGGTTGTATGGAAGCCCCAAACGCAATTTCATTGTTCTTGACAATGACAATAAATAAATACTACTACTACTACTACTATACAATACCACATAAACACTGTTACATCTACATATTCTCATGATGTCAATGTATATGAACAACAGTGTGAAGCCCTTATAGATAGCTCAGGCAGGCACTTCCAGCTGCACTTCCTCACACACTTGCAGTCTGTTTTTATCCATCTACAGATTTTCTCTCTGACATGCCTGCAGTACCTGCTCTTTCAACCCCTTCATCACCTTCAGCATCCACCTCAGCCTCAGTGGAAGGGGGAATATTTATGCATCGCTCACTAATGTCTTTCTTTTGCACGGTCCTCTGATTGGCTCAGAAGCTAGACACCTAAATTCTGTTCTTTTCTATTTTAACATCTTGAGATCAAAAATCTTTTTCCCGTGCGTGTCCTAGGCCAACATAGGCACCATTAATCTGTCAGTTAAATGTGAGCTTTCTGGCTGAACTGTTATAATCAAAATGAAGTTTACAGCAGTAACAGTTCTATTCATAGCAGTAGAGCTGTAACTACATACAGGGAGTGCAGAATTATTAGGCAAATGAGTATTTTGTCCACATCATCCTCTTCATGCATGTTGTCTTACTCCAAGCTGTATAGGCTCGAAAGCCTACTACCAATTAAGCATATTAGGTGATGTGCATCTCTGTAATGAGAAGGGGTGTGGTCTAATGACATCAACACCCTATATCAGGTGTGCATAATTATTAGGCAACGTCCTTTCCTTTGGCAAAATGGGTCAAAAGAAGGACTTGACAGGCTCAGAAAAGTCAAAAATAGTGAGATATCTTGCAGAGGGATGCAGCAGTCTCAAAATTGCAAAGCTTCTGAAGCGTGATCATCGAACAATCAAGCGTTTCATTCAAAATAGTCAACAGGGTCGCAAGAAGCGTGTGGAAAAACCAAGGCGCAAAATAACTGCCCATGAACTGAGAAAAGTCAAGCGTGCAGCTGCCAAGATGCCACTTGCCACCAGTTTGGCCATATTTCAGAGCTGCAACATCACTGGAGTGCCCAAAAGCACAAGGTGTGCAATACTCAGAGACATGGCCAAGGTAAGAAAGGCTGAAAGACGACCACCACTGAACAAGACACACAAGCTGAAACGTCAAGACTGGGCCAAGAAATATCTCAAGACTGGTTTTTCTAAGGTTTTATGGACTGATGAAATGAGAGTGAGTCTTGATGGGCCAGATGGATGGGCCCGTGGCTGGATTGGTAAAGGGCAGAGAGCTCCAGTCCGACTCAGACGCCAGCAAGGTGGAGGTGGAGTACTGGTTTGGGCTGGTATCATCAAAGATGAGCTTGTGGGGCCTTTTCGGGTTGAGGATGGAGTCAAGCTCAACTCCCAGTCCTACTGCCAGTTTCTGGAAGACACCTTCTTCAAGCAGTGGTACAGGAAGAAGTCTGCATCCTTCAAGAAAAACATGATTTTCATGCAGGACAATGCTCCATCACACGCGTCCAAGTACTCCACAGCGTGGCTGGCAAGAAAGGGTATAAAAGAAGAAAAACTAATGACATGGCCTCCTTGTTCACCTGATCTGAACCCCATTGAGAACCTGTGGTCCATCATCAAATGTGAGATTTACAAGGAGGGAAAACAGTACACCTCTCTGAACAGTGTCTGGGAGGCTGTGGTTGCTGCTGCACGCAATGTTGATGGTGAACAGATCAAAACACTGACAGAATCCATGGATGGCAGGCTTTTGAGTGTCCTTGCAAAGAAAGGTGGCTATATTGGTCGCTGATTTGTTTTTGTTTTGTTTTTGAATGTCAGAAATGTATATTTGTGAATGTGGAGATGTTATATTGGTGTCACTGGTAAAAATAAATAATTGAAATGGGTATATATTTGTTTTTTGTTAAGTTGCCTAATAATTATGCACAGTAATAGTCACCTGCACACACAGATATCCCCCTAAAATAGCTAAAACTAAAAACAAACTAAAAACTACTTCCAAAAACATTCAGCTTTGATATTAATGAGTTTTTTGGGTTCATTGAGAACATGGTTGTTGTTCAATAATAAAATTATTCCTCAAAAATACAACTTGCCTAATAATTCTGCACTCCCTGTACTGTAATGATTTACTTATCAGTAGCACGTTCTTCAAATTTAAACACTTACTAGCTTACAACGTGAAATGCTAAGCAGACTTGTTCATTTTCTGTCTCTCTTATCAGACACGCACAGATACACGCACTCATGCGCGCGCGCACACACACACACACACACACACGGTCTGCATATGTGAGAATCAGATAAGACATTGTTTTTCTTTGTTGTGAAATCTAGCTGCCAAGATCACTTATGAGGAAAACTGGGTTATATTCATACGTGATGTTAAATGTTTATGTGTCCATAAACACCCTTCTTATCTGCAGAAACTGCTGCAGCACAGTGCAGCAATTTACAAGAAATTAAACAAGCATTTCAAAAAACCAAACAAAACCAGGCCATCTCAGGGGCATTTTCACACCCAGATCACAGGCAGCAGTTATTTAGTTTGAACTCTGCTGTGATTCCCCCTGAGTTTGCTCCAGTTGCACATGCAAGAACACGCTAATCGCCCTGGGGTGTGGACCAAAGCAGATGGACCCAGACCTGACCGAGATGGGCGGGAGCGGGGGGGTCCCCTGGTATTTTTTAAAACGCCTCCTTTGGAGAAAGTGATGAGGCTGCAATGTGTCAGCACTCGAGTGTGGCATTAGGAAGAGTCGTCCACAACTGCTGCTGTTTGTGAGAGAAGCTTGCTCACAACAGAAATCTGGCCAATTACGGAAACCTCAGCTCCCACATGGATTTTCTTAATAAGGCCTCAAAGTGTGTTTGAAATGCAAGAAAGGCACTGCAATACAATACAGTAGGAGCGCATCTACTTATTTACATAGCAGAAGAAGGACTGAAGCCCTGATGGTAGACTTAATTAAGTCTACCATCTTTGCAAATGACAAGCAAATGAATTGCTACCTTCAACGGCCATCAGGCACACTACCAGTGTTTCCCAGAATGCCCTGGCCTTTCTTTTTATCGTCCCTATAAATCTTCATCTCAGTATTGAGTTATCGATTACACTTTTATTCTTTGCGTCTCATGCTTGATCTCTCTTCTCTCTCCAGAATCCCGTGCTAAGCAGCATCTTCCCCCACAGAGGGCCCAAAGCAGGTGGCTCCTCTCTCACCATCACAGGCCAAGCACTGAGGACAGGACACCTGAACGAAGTCAGCGTCTTAATTGGAGGAATACCGTGTGATGTGTAAGCACTTCCAGAATAAATCCTGTTCATGCTGCAGGATTTGATTTGTGGGTTAAAATCTAAAAGACGTTCCTCTTCTCAGGCGCGACATCCAGAAGGATCACATCAGCTGTCTGACCCGAGGCAGCAACAGGACGGGAGAACACGGCATCACTGTGCGGTTTGGTGGTGCAGAGCGCCACCTGAAGGGCTCGGTGTATCATTACACCCCCAACCCAAACATCACCGAATTAAAAACACAACACAACGCAGAGTCAAGGAGTCTGTTTGGGCCTAACTGTTGCAGCGGTATGAAGCAGAAACCGGTTACACAGACACATAAGTACAATATGTCAGGAAGGTGTACCTGCTGACTGATACAGTGCTTGAGCCACTATAAACCCAACAGTGGTTCTCAGGAAACAACTCCTTTTACTTTGGATCTTTAGGTCCTTTGTTACGTTTGTTACTTTGTTATGTTCCCATTTGAAGTTTAAACTTTTGAAATGTTTCATTTTATTTACATTTTTAGTGCATTATTTCTTTCTTTTTGACCCATTCGTGGTAGCTGGGTAATATGAATTTGGAGCCCTCTGAAGAGTGAACAGGCTTCTTTCTGAACAGTTTGGGGTTGACTCAACACTGTACGAGTAAGTTTAAATAACTGAAATGGACACAAATCAAGATAAATGATAAGAGAAAAAATTTTCAATTCATTAAATACAGAACAAACAGGCTGCTGACTGAGCCAACCTCAGCCTCTTAATTGTGGACCTCATCCTTTGTCATTCTCGACACATATCTTGCAAGGCCTTTCTCCTAAAATCTCTCTTTAGCATTGCTGTTTCTTGAACATGTGTGCATACACACAACCTAATGTATTATTATATTTTGTTTTGCTTTGTTCTCCTTTCGTCCCTCTTTTGCAAATGCTGGATTTTGGACTAAACAATTCAATTACCGTAGTTTTCGGGTCATATGCCGCTACTTTTTTCCCACGCTGTGAACACTGCGGCTTATACTGATGTGCGGCTAATGCATATTTTTTTTCTTGCGGCCAAAAACATTTTGCCTGGTAACAGTAGACCAATAAAATTTCTAAGTAGTATATATACGGTATATATTTTTACTGGTTGTTAAGAGACGTTGTAATGTTGTTTGTGCACTGTTCCGTAAAAAAAACATAAGCAACGTAATTTGTGTGTTACTGATACGTACGTATACTTAAAGGTAGCCGTGTAACAGGCGCTGTTCGAAGAAAAAAAAGCATTTGCAGTATGTGTTTTTGTATGTTACCTTAACATTTATGTTACCATGTTTATGTTACCTTACGGATTCAATTAAACGTTAAAAATCCTCACGTGTAATACCTCTGTGTAAATATCTTATATTACAATTGAAACGCATACGGCTTAAAATCCGGTGCGGCCTGTTCAAGTACAAAATTGATTTTCTTTCTAAAATTAGAGCATGCGGCTTTTAATCAGGTGCGCTCTGTAGTCCGGGATTTACGGTAAATGTTATTTATACAGCACCTAATCACACCAACAGTCGCCTCAAGGTGCTTTACGTTGTAAGGTAGAACCTACAATAATACATACAGAGAAAAAAAACAACTATAATATGACCCCCTATGAGCAAGCACAGCGGGAAGGAAAAACTCCCTTTCAAAAGGAAGAAACCTGCCGCGTCCGGTTGGGATGAAAGAAGGAAGACAGGAAAAACAGATTTGTACACACACATACTTCATTTTACAGTTTAATGTAAACACACTGATGGCTGCTTAATTTACCTGGAAGTGGAAACACTGAGCTGACAGCCCGACTCCTCCTCCCATCACTTTGACTGAGGCCTGCTCACTCTTCTCCCCTCCACTGCTTGTAGTTTCACATACTATCCTACACAACAGAGTCACAGAACTGTCACAAAGGGAGTATGGTACATAAAAGAACTGTGTGCATACAGGTGTACCCCTGACTTGCCTTGAGGAGACTTCATATCTGCTGTGGATCACATTGCAAGGAACACCTGCCACTGTGACTGAGCCCTGGATGTCTTCGGCTCTCTGACCAAGGTTGGAGCCTGAAATGGTCACCACTGTCCCTCCCTCGACGGGACCGGATACTGGGTCCAGCTGAAACACAAGAGCAAAGTGAATATTGTGCATGATCAAAACTGATATGTCTCAGTGGCCAAGTTAGGAGGATAGAAATGAGGGACCAGCGGGGACATAAGGATGTACTCATGGTATGATTGACCCATATGTACTGGTTCCTCAGCTGGAGTTACTATCATTTACTTCTACATCTGATTAGCTCACAGTGAATCCCTGAGCATAGAAAAAGAACTAATGTCACCATAAAGCAAAACAGAGTGACATTGTAATGAATTAAAACTTCTTTTTTTTTTTTTATCTCCTTGTAGTCTTTTGTTATTTCCTGAAGCAAGAATTGTTGCTGGGGGTGGCAGGGCAAAGATAGGGGAAACATGCTCTAAACTTTACCAGTATGCCAGCATGAACTGTGTGAACAGCAGAAGGTGAGCATGCACATATTCGCATGAGCAACATAACAACAACAATAAAAGTGGGGCTCATCAGACTGTTGGATATATGTGGGGGATTTTAACGTCAGTTGTTATCTTGTATATTATTTTGAATGTAAATGGAAGAAATGAAATGATGAGGGTTTGGAGTCTGCTTTAATGCACAGGTGTTGTGAGCAAGCACCTCTCAACATACTGTGAGGAACGTAGATATTTGCCTTTAATGGCATAAAATGATAAGATTATGACACAGTAAATTTGTTTCTCTAGGCATCTGCTGAAGGTGGACATTATCTGTGTGCTCACCTTAAATCTGATTTCAACTTTGATTGTATGATAAAAAATCAAAACATATGAGACACATGTTATTATTCCCCCTCAGCAAATCACAATTTTTCAGTAGTGGAGAGGTCTGCATTTCCGTGTGATCCTGGGAGCCATTGTTTCTGGGGCATTAGCCACTCTTATGGTCTCCCACTGGCAAAACGAGCGATTCGGAAAACACAAATGAAGAGGAAGATTTGCAGCTCAACCACCTTGCCCGGAAGCAAGAAAATGGGAACCTTTCCTGGAACCCAGCTTGGGAAGGGGAACTTGAAGGCAAGTGTCTGCTGATCAGGCCTGTGTCCATGGGGCTTAATCAGGCATGCTTGAAAATATAACATAGATCATGCACCTTCCACATCAGGTGGAGGTCCATATATAAGTCATATTTCATGGTGATAAAATATAGGTAATGACTGAAAGAGTGCGGTCATGAATACAAGCAGATAAAATGAGATCAAATGGGCTAAGCCTCAGAGGTAGGGTGAGGAGTTGGAGTAGAGCCATTGCTCCTCCATATTGAAAGCAGCCAGTTTGGGTGGTTTCAGCATCTGGTTTGCATGCCAATGGTCTGGTTCTTCTACAGCGCTTTTCTACTCTACCCGAGCACTCAAAGCTCTTTATATAACTAATTCATTCATCCAATCACTTTTTCTAAGCTGTTAAGTGCTTATTCAGTGGTTACTCTTTTGTGATACACAGTCATATTTACATTATTTGTAAAGTACGAATGATTTGCTTTGGTACCTGGTCAAATTTAAGCTCTCCTCTGTCTGCAGCAAACTCGCAGGCAGCAGCTTCTCCCCCCTCGCTCACATGCATGCGCAAGTGCTGTGCTCAGTCGCCTAGTGCCTGAGCTCAGATCATACCAAAATTAGGGGGAATTTATGACTGTGCACTATTTGTTTTGAATATTGTGTGTAGTTTTTGTTTTATACAGTTGTCAATAAGGCATCTAACTATGAAACAAATTACACTCCAAAAGACTCCGGGCTTCTGAAAAAATGACCCAGGCTTAAGCCCAGTAAGCCACCCCCCCGCGCTCCGCCGATGGTTGACTCCAAATCTCCGAACACTATGTCGATCTGAGAAAGCAAGACCAAGACAGCGAGACAAAGACAAGACCAAGACCACATAAAAGTGGTCTCGAGCCATCCAACTCTAGAACTGTGTCCATAGAACAGTTCATTCTAAGATCCCCCATGAAGAACTGGAAAGTGTGGCTGGAAGCCTGGTTAGCCTGCTGCCATCACAATCCAGCTTCAGATAAGTAGAAAACAATGAATTTACATTGTCAGTTATGTTAGTTTTATGTTAAATGAGAGTTAACAATGCCCCATGTGTGACGAAAAACTTTTTGGTTTTCCTTTCAGCCCTACTTAATGAAAGTGAGTAAAGTGTTGGAAAGAAGGTAGAAATATCTTACAAAGTGGATGACTGGTGCTGGGCAGGTGTGCTTGATCTCATCGGTGCAGGAGTCTTGGTACACACAGTGAGAACTGCTGGCCCCACCACACCAAACGCAGCCATACTTGGGGTCAGCTGTGCGACACCGGCTGCAGTCTGACCGCCCCACCGAACAATTGAACAGAGTCACTGAAGCAAGAGAGGGTATAAAGTAAACAGAGAGCACTATAGTAGTAAATATGAAATGAATGCACTATACACAAAACTATTGTACTCTAAACAACAGTTGTCTATAGTGCAACTATGCACAGCTATGCAAACCCACCATACAGATCCTCAGCGCTGTCAATGAGGAAGTTGTTTTTTCTCCTCACATTGATTGTGGTTGGGTACTCCTCCAGCGAGACCGAGTACACATACTGAAACAAGACGAGCAGTCAAAAAGAATAATGTGTACAAGGTCGTGTGATGCAAACCATGTGTACAGCTGTTACAGCGTACGTCCAGTTATCTGGTTGAGAGCTAATGAAGCTCACTGATGCAAAAACAGGCTTCGTTCAGCACATGTCCCTCATTTATTGGTGTAACATAGGACTAGTTGTAATGTTGGCTGTGCTAAACAGGTTATCATTAATAAATAAGTATTTATAAATCATCATTTAAAGGCAGCTTTTTATTGAAACTGGTGTACAAACACACACAGGACGTTTACTCAGTTACACTGAGACAGACAATCAGAGTAGTTATCAGTCTTTCAGACTTGCAGTAATCTGACCTGATGCGGTTGGCAGGTGATAAAGAAGACTGATGGCTTTGCAGTATCCGGCTGCACTGAGGCATCCACTACCACTGACTTATTCTCAATGTCCAGTACACACTCGTAGTTTAAATCTTCATCCTGAATGTACAGAGTGGACCCACAAATACATTCCAAAATAAACACATTATTAACTTATGTATCCTGGTATCAACACAAAAGAGATTCTAAAAGTGTTTTTGACTGACAAAGTGAAACAAATCTCAATTTTAAAATATGTACCAGAGAATATATGTTGAGATTTAAGGATGAGACAAACCTGAAACAGGTTTAGGTATTGTCCCACCAGAGTGATCTTCCGCTCAACATTGACAGGGAGAAGAGGAGAATCCTGAACTTTCTCCACACATGGGCATTCCTGAGGATACGGCAAAATCATTTACACATACAGACAATACAGCCATTTATAGACCTGCACATGCATCCTGCCCTCAACGTTTAATGTTACGCAGGCACCTGCTCATTTCTTTTTCTTTCACTGAACATCTATAAGAACTAAAATCTTCAGGGTTAATAAAATCCTAATTAATCCTCCAGCTCTGGACATTTTTGTTTGTTTGCTTATTTTTTAAAAGTTCATATTTTTTACTCTGATTTGGACAAATTTGATATAGGCAATGGGTAAAAGGTAGTTTGGGACAAGCCACATTCTACTTCCATCCACCAAACTAAGAACAACCCCACTAAACTGTCCATTTAAAAAATAAGATGGTGCCCTTACTATAGATAATGATGTATATTATGTATAAGAATTCTTCTGTTCATCTTTGAAATACAAGCTGTCAAAGAAAAGTAAATCCCATAAAAAACATTGCTGTCCTAGAAAAAATGCAAACAAAATATAAAACTAAGAGAAACAAAAAGACGATAACCAACACAAAGACATGTCCCACAATGTAGCATAAGATGTATGAGCAAAGCACAGGGACGGACGCTTAGCTTGTAGCACTGTAATATCATGCTAGTGCTCAACATGTTAACAGCTATGATATGATGATAGACAATCCACTGAACCTCAAAAGAAATTCCAGTAATGTCAGTCATTGCTGGTTTGGCACCTTTTGCAAACCACCTAGAGTAAAGCTTTAAACCTAAACTTGGGGTGGCTGTAGCTCAGGCGGTAGAGCAGGTCACCTACTAACTGGAAGGTTGGTAGTTCGATCCTAGTCTGTTAGGAAGAACTTAGAAAAAAGTGCTTGTGCGAATGGGTGAATGCACAAGTTGCGTACTCAAGATAGAGTAGAAAAGCACTATATAAGAACTATTTGCTTACCTAGCCTTATTAAAGGGTATTTTTGGTAGATGCAATTTGAGTTTTTTGTATATATTTATTTACACACACACACACACACACACACACACACACACACACACACACACACACACACACACACACACACACACACACACCTTTCTAACCAAGCTAGGTACAGTTGGCTGACAGCTCTTTCTTCAAGATCTCCTTTTGGTAGTAAAAATGCTAATATTGAGGCTTTAATAGACAGAAATCAGTGAGTACGAGCAACTTAAGCTGTCTGTTCAGCTAAGCAAACTGGCAGATACGTGTAGCTTCACAGTGCATGGCACTGATTTTTTTTCACCCGTCAACAGGAGCCAAATAAGCCTATTCCCCTAAATGTATATTTAGGGGATTTAAGTGGTTCCTCTTGGTGACTTGTGACAGTAGTTCTTTTTCTGGCTTTGGCACTCACCAGAAAATAAGAGTCAATTGTAGAATCAGATTGGGAGTTCTCTCCAGAATCAAAGCTGAGGTCAATATCTGTTTCAGGTGATTGTGTCAATACAAATGTCGGAATGACAGATGAACTTGTTGAGACCACCTCACTCTCTGGGTTCGTCGACCTGTTCAGCCACAGTGGTGAGTCATTCTCTTGAGTTTTGGAATCTCTTGGGTCTGATAAAAGGGTTACTTCGCTGGAAGCGCTCATGCTCATTTCAGAGGAAGATCCACCAGATGGTTCAAAAGAATGAGAGTCTGTTTGGTGACTAGTGCTGCTGGGTAATGGAGTGACTGTGTGTCTTTGTGTGATATTTAAGCTATCAGTGAGCTGATCCTTTGAAAAACCTCTGGTAGGTTCATCAGTACCCTTTGTTGTTCTTCCCACATCGAAGAAGCCAATGGTGGTGACCTCAGTGTGCTCCGTAGAGGTCCTGACAGAGGGAGAAGTTGTAGGGAGGCCAATAGGTGTGATGGATTCAGCATTGGGGGTTGTTGGTGGCATTACTTTGATTGTAGTGGTGGGGACAGCTGTAGTGGTGGGAGCAGATGTCTTTGTGGGTGGTGGCTGTGTTGTTGCAGTAGTTGTTGTTGTAGCAGTCGGGACAGTAGGAGGTGGAGGGGTCAGTTTTCTGCTGGGTGTTGGTGTGGTGGGGGTTGGAGGTTTGAACTTGACGATGAGGAAACAAGTGAATAAGCAAAGGGGGGAGGGGGAGGAGAAGGGAAAAGAAGCATGGGGAAGACAAATTAGGATAAAACAGAAGGTGAAAGCAAAAAAACATTAAGGAGTAACTTATGAGTAACATAAAAACATTCATGGTAAAACAAAAAATAGAACAGGGACAGTAAATAAAAAAATAAACAGAACTACAACAAACAACAGAAAATGCATGCAAAAATTGGTATGTGTGGTGCGAAAAGCAGTATGATAAATGCTCATAAAACAAACAACACTCTTAGGCTATCCGTTTCCCCTTATAGAATCTATATGCACAGCACAGTTAAAAGCCCTCTCTGTGTCGTGCAGACTCACATTTTGGTTGTAGATAGTCACTCCTTCGGTGCAGACATGTTTATGTGTGCAGACATGCTGGTGGATACACCAGTTACACCCCCAACGACTGCTGATACACCCTTGGCATCTGGGAGAGAACACAGCAATGTTAAAAAAACATGATCGCAATCTCTGAAAGGGCTGTTATGACAACAATCAGACTCTTTCACACAACCCAACGCTACATTACACTTACTATACAAACAAAGAAAATAATCATTGTAACTGAAACATTTAAAGATTATTATGAATTTTTACAAGCAAATCCTATGGAAATATCGGGTTAGGGCTATTTCTGTGACCGTGCAGACTTCACTGAAAAATTTCTGTTACAATGCACCAACTAAACAAGTGGCCCAGGTGGTGGACTTCAAAGAAGTATACCAGGAATAGCTACTTAGCCATAGTGTGTCCAGTTGTCCATGTCCGTATCCACAACAGGGTTAATTAAGCCAAAGTGCTAACAATTGAGACTCAGACACCTAATGTGCAAACAGGCATTCTTACTGCAGTAACAAGCTGGAAACACCTTACTAGCATCTAATGCATTTCGCCAAATTAGATTTAATAATGTGAGTGTGTGTACGCATGTGTCTTGGTTAGAGAGGTACTCACGGCCTGCGTCCAGACAGCTGCTGCACCAAGCTGCAGTTGTAGAAGGTGAATTCTGTCTCTGCTACCGTGACATTTATGAAGCGCAGCGATAAGGTAACCATTACAAACTCTGCAACAAGTAAGCCAGGACACGTTAGCTTCAAGTTGACTGATCAATAAATCAAAAATGTGCACGGAGTAACTACATACAAATTCTTTGAAATTCTCAGTGAGCGACTGGAGGACACTATTTGAGGGCAGCCTCAACTTTGCTTTTACAAAGAGAATAGTAAGTAAAACCTGAATATATGTCATGTATCTTTGTCATCTGACACTAGCTATTGTTTGCACTTTAGAAGGAAGTAGCTTTCACATTGCCACTTAGAAACAAATACATGCAAGTTGTGAATCAGTCCAAAAACACTCCAGCCACTATTTACAACAGTTACAGTTATGAGTGGATGCAACACCCACCATCTCCATGGCTAATGGGGGGCAGACTGCTGGCATCAGGGGTGGAACATATCACACCAGCAGTAGTGAGCAAGGCCGGTGTTTCTGTATACTGGAAGAAGCAAGAATAGGCCTCGCCTTGTTTTAGACTGGGTAGGCCTTCTACTGACACTGTAATCTACATAGGAAAGGACAGTATGAAGAAAGAAAGGAGGAAAAGAGACAAAGAGGGCATTTCATTAAAGTAAATGGTTACTTTTTAACTCTACCCACTGAGGGTTTAATTCAAGAACTGGAAACAACAACGTAATCTTGTGCTTCGATCTGCTGCCCCTTTCCCCCTGTATTACATCAGTTTCCTCTCCACGGCTGATATTGTAGAGGCTGAGGTGTTGGATACTGAGACACTGCTGTGTCTGGTTGAAACTCCACAACCAGTGACCCTGCTCAGATCCTCGCTGGCACTCCCACCGCTGACCACAGCTGAATAATGTTACATGTAAGAAAATCGAATAAGATCAGAAAAGAGAATCATGGCCACAGTAAAGATGCATTTACATCTCCCTATATCTTAAAGGAAAATTAATATGATAATAATAATAATACATTTCTTACCGTCCCTCCAGGACACACCAGCCACAATAGGGGTCTCTGGCAGACAGACAGGACTGACAGTCTAAGTGATCCCCACATTCTGCCACTGGACGTTTCTCTACCTGAAATGAAGAAAGAAAGAAGAAGTATGGCTAAACTAGTGAGGTGATTAAAGTAGATAACAATGGCACTAATGTCCTATGAATCCTATGAAGTCTTTAAAGTGAACCAATCTTTTTTTATATATAAAATCTTCAGCTTCAAATAAAGCAAAAATTGTTTATATGTGAACATGGATAATCATGAGTAAGTCAATAATCTTGTGGTAAAATGTGAATGCTTTTTATAGGCATATGGCTTTACAAAGACTTTAACTTGCATCAGAGTCCCTGGGAACTCATCAAACTGGCAACCACAATGTAATAACTTGGACTTGATAATTGGTTTATTGCATTACTGTGACAAATACTGAAGAGGTTGTCTTTGGTTTTTAATGTGATAATTGCTTTGCTTTAGTGAAAATGGAAATAAAGACAAATTATGGCAAAATGACATAAAAACAATTCTTAAATATTTAGTTAGCTATACATGTAATCTTTAGCTAGCTAGTTTGAATGTTATACTCAATATTTGTTTCAGCTTGTAATGACAGTTTTATTGTGTTTATATTTCCTTTTTATTCACATCAGACTACTAAAGATGGCTTAGTTGCTCATAACAAAATAAATCTGCCATACTTACCGACACATACGAAGCGAGATATTTAATCTCTAGCTCTCTAATCTTAGCTTCACATTTAACTATGTTTGTCTCAGTAACTATAATAACAGTGTTATGGCCCTTTGTGTGTCCTGTTTCTTCAAGCCAGACCAATATGAGTCAGTAGCTAGCTCGGCTGACTAGCTAACAAATATTTACACTGGCTGCTCGCCTACAAACATCTACTGGACATTTAATTGAGTTCAATCCACTTTCAGTTTTATTTATATAGCAACAAATCACAACAACAGCTGCCTCAAAGCACTTTATATTGTAAGTTAATGACCCTACAATAATACAGCTAAACTTAATCTAACTAGAAATTCAAGCACTAAAGATAGGTAACAAAAAGTAATACTATTTATTGATGCAAGGCTGATGCTGTACTGTGTGTTTTTATTTATGTACTTTTTTAACTTAATGCAGAAAAAGAAGCTTGGATTTAGGAATGCTAATGCTATCTTTGTCACACATTACTATGAAAAAGAAACTTTAGGAAGTAGGAGCTCTCCTATTTACATATTGTCTTTTATCCCTTTTATTGTTGGCATTGGTTAACCACATAATTTTTTTTCTAACTACCATAAACTGAACTTCACTTTTCACATGCAAATATACCAGCAGTCTCTTGACAAATGCAATGTATATGAGGAAACTGGAACTGCCTCACATGTGTATGCTAAATGTAACTTCTGCTGCGCTACATTCAGGTGCTCCGTGGTGTCGGACTGACACAATCAATTTTGTGTATAGACTTGCAGTTTCCCCAAGTCCATTTATCAGCATCTATAGCTACCCACACACACTCTGTAGGGAGTGTGCCAACACAATGGAGGCCACTTTCTCTGATCAATACCATTGTTAAAAGCGACTTTACACCTCCTGCAGACTGTTGTACAACTCACAGTGGGGTTAGTGACCTTTGACCTCAACAGCCAGCTGGCCTCAGTGTTTTCTTTTACTCTTTGGCTTATATTCTGTTATCCTCTTTTATTAGTGAGAGAGAAACAGCTTGAGGAAGACGCAAAGCCTGAAAAACTCTGACAAACAATAAATTGTGTTGACGATGGATTACAATCCATGTTCAGTCTTGTGTATGGAGACATCTGGTTGAGTGGTTGAATGGGGATACTCAGTCAAAAAAACAAAAACAAACAAACCCTGCAGCTGTTGAATGTTTGGACTTAAAATATGGGAAACCTAAAACTATCCTAAAGTGTTTATAATTCATTGTAAACTTACCGTGGTTTTGGTCATGATGTAGATATGTCCTCCATTCTGATCCAACAAAAGGTCACTGTTAATGGGAGAGTTGGGGTGGATCGTTGTGTTCTCGTATACTTCCACAGTGCCATCTCGGCCAAGATAAACCTGGACGTTTATAGCAGAAAAGCACAAGACATAGAATTCGTGGTATACATGACGTAGCAAATATCAGTCCAACTCAATTTGAATTTCCAGGACAGAAAGGATGAGCGTGATCTATTCCCCTCACTGCAGGACTAAACTGAGACAGGCAAAAAAATAAAAGACAAACGAATACCTTCTTCAGCGTACAACTCAAACACAAATCAAATCAGACTTGCAAAGGAGCGCAGTAGAAGTGGGCATGAATGTGATTATCACACAGTCAAATCTAATATGAAGTACAGGAAGACACCTCTGGCTTAAGCAATTCCCAGGCATTCAAACTCTCATGTTACTTCATGTTAATGAGATCACTGTGGACAGAATGGAGAATCAGTTATCCCATTAAGAGGATGCACTCAACACATAATGGCATGGGAAGCTGCTTTGTAATGCTCTGTGACTTTGGAACATTAAAGAGATGTGTCCATCATAGAAACTTTTTTTAAGCTGAAAATGGCAGGCCATCTCCTGGAAACAGCTAGCTATGAGCAACAACCTGACTCTAGCCTACTGCTCCTTAACAGTAAATCAATGTTCCTCCATTATTTGTCATTTTACTATTGCTGGGATTAAAAAAACCCACTTCCAGGATAGCGACCAACACCATCCTGTTTTGACTTTTATTTTGAAACTTCTGACATAAACCAATTCAGGAACACCACTGCTCTTCCACTTGCTCATTCAAAACAAGGAAGTTAACCATCAAGTTGTCCAGGTGACTTGTATCTCCACCACGCTAATGCTTCTTTAAGGTATTAAGTGGCAATCATCAGGCCTGAAAAACAAAGCCAATACTTAATTGCCCAGAGAAGCATCTAATGCGCACTGAAGGCTGTCTCTGAAAGCAAGTCAATCTCCAAAGAGCTCCATGTCAAAATATCCAACATCCATCTTTAAAGTGTCTATACCTAATTTTCCCCCTTCTGACACCAATAAGGGAGATGTTTTTTCGTAATCACTCACCCATTTGTTAATACTTAAAATTAGGGCTGTGTAGCCAACACCTGTCTGATGGGACTCACTTATCTCAGCTATTTCGTTCACTGAACTGGACCTTTTGACCGTGTTTGTGGTGGATCGTTATTAATGGAATTATCTGACAAATATCACGGCCCTCTGTGTGATGCAACCTTTCCAAGATGCTTTGGCTCCACTTTAGTGAAATTCTAGTCTTTTAGCACCAATTAATAGGTGTCTGTGTCTGTCTATTGCAGTAGACAGCTGTAGTCAGCCCTCAAAAATATGTTCACTTGTGGCTCTAAAAACCAAGCCAGCAAAGAAATCACAGACACTGTTTCTTAAAAATGTCATTATTCATTCAGAATTATACATCCACTAGCCCATCGTCTTTATAAGATAGTTTGTACAGTGAGTCCTTTCCTAATTCTGCGACAAGTTTTCATACCCTGAGACTGTTATTTACTCATTCAGCAACACAATCCTTATAAATTGTCTGAAAGGAGAGACTATAAGCCAAATTAAGCACCAACTGTCAGCAGAATTTAAAGAATTCTGAATCTACAGTCATGAAAAAAAATGTACCCACTCTTCACACACCTATAACTTAATAACAAATAATCTAGTCTTAAAATTAAATGAACAACCCCGAAGAAGCCTTAGGTGAGAGGTGAAATCTATTCAAGAAATTGATACAAGTCCATTGACCTTTTTTCCACGCTCCTTAGACAATCTGTTTGGACAACAACACGTATTATTATTTTTAAAAAGTGTTGTTTGACAACCTAAGCACACCTTTACTCCTTCTGTAGGAAATAAGAGAGTAAGTAGCAGGCAGGTGCTTCTAATCAAATGCACATTAATGAATCATTAGCAAGTGTGAGCATCTCTATAAAAGCAGAGGTTTCAGCAGTTTGCCTGTCTGAAGAATTTATGTGTGTGGGTAACACACTGCTAAGGAGAAAAGACATTGACGATGATCTTAGAGAAGCAATTGTTGCTCCAATCAATGTGCGGAAGGGTCATGAGGTCCTTTACAGACAAGGTCAGATTGTTCATTGCTCAGGCAAACTGCAAGGAGCCAGAGAGCTTCATCTCAGACTATACAGGTAAATGTTGAAGTTCTTAACAGCATAATTAAAAAACTGAACAAATATGGCTTATTTGGAAGAATTGCTGCGAGAAAGCCTCTTCTCTCTAAAAAGAACATGATAGCACGGCGTAGATTAGATTTGCAAAGTTGCAAATTTTATAAACAGAATAAATATAATTACAACCTGCGTGGATGAAAAGTACTGTACTTCCTGCACTCGAGTTCCTACAAGTTCAGTGTGGTTTTTGTACCAGTTAAACAAGGAAGCAGTAAGATGGTCGTTGTTATGTTTTCCATTTTATGCTTCCATCCATAATGCTCGCGTAAGCCAAACAACCTCCAGCTCTAGCTCCACAGTTAATGTACCAATGTAAGAGCAGTATCGATTGTTTTATTGAAACCTTGGTGTGAAAACAAATATGCGCAGTTAGGCAAATGCAGAAATGGTCTTTTAATTCCAACAAAGCAACGCAGGTAAAGCCTGCTGACTACAACCACAAAAATCAAGTCAGTTACACCAATTACAGACCATCAACATATTACTGCAGTATTACATTTAAAGTGGGTCACCAGTTGTCAACCTCTTTCCTCTGAAACACAAACACGCGCTCAAATGGAGTCCCATATCTGGATGCTGTGGAATTTGTCCTGCTGTGATACGCTAATCCTGTTACAATAGCTTTTTTCAGATGACTACGTTGAGTGCAGCTTTGATCTGCTACCTAAAAGTACTAAGTCTGGCTCTGTGTCTCATTCTCTCTAGTTGACACAAGAACACACACACACAAACAGAGCAAAACAGGTTGTGTCTACAATCCTCTTATCTTGATCCCTTCATGTAACTATCACATCTATGCAGATGTTGTTCAGAAGGTAGAAGCGTTCTCTTTTCTTGTTTTGTTTTGTACACAAGAGCTGAAAACATCACTTAGACTTTGATAAAAAGTCTAAGTGATGTTAGAAATCTACTCTGGACGAAACTTTCCAACAACCCCCCCCCCCAAAATAAGACCCTGTCTCCAACATGTTGCAGTGTGCAGAAGAAAAAGCAAACCCGTTAAGCGTGGGATCACAAAGGTATGCTAGCCTGTGTTTGTTGGAACACTGTGAATGCTGGAATGATAGGAATCTTCCAGGCCGGAGTCACACAGTGATGTAGAAGTATATGGGAACTGGCGTGGACTTGGATTAAATATCTTTGAAATTGGATTTGTGTGTTTCAGGGTGTTTTATGTGGTGTAAGGTGTGTTTTGCTGAGATGTGAATCATAGACAAGTTAGAGCACAAAGGCAGGCCTGCGTGGACACAGATCCAGTTAATCCCTGACACTTATGTGAGCGCGATGAATGAAAAATTAGACCACCGGGTTAATAAGAAACTGGTAGAAATATTTCCATGAGTCAGGGGTTTCTCCCTGCCTCCCACTCTGCACACCAGGGGAGGCTCTCCAAGGTCACACAAAAACAAAAACTAAAAGTCTGAGCTACCTTGTGAAGGGTCCCTTTGGAGTCTCCCAGGAATGCGATGCTATGTCCATCCCTGACACTGACTGCCACGGCGGTGAGACGGGCAGATGAGGTGTGCCATGCAGGTTTAGCTTTCAGCGGTTCCCTGTTTGCCATTGGACTTGGGGTGTGGTCGGAGCCGCAGGGATATGCCTTCAGGGTATTCTAAAACATGTGACGGGATAGAGAGTTTGTCTTGCTGGTTCATCTTCAAATAAACACAACAGAGACTTTTATTGCTACAATTTCAAGCTACATTTTAATTTTTATATCACATTTCAAATACAGCTATTATTTTTCCCTTGTTGTTTTAAGTCATGCCAAACATCTAAAGCTTTAGAGCAAATAAGTTTATATTCCCACTGTTGCCTCAGAGCCTCTGAATCCTCTTAATACATCGTAAGAGGATTGCACCATAGATTAAAGCAGACTCATTCAGAGACATGGTCTCTCCTTTCCTTTGGCTTTGCAAAGCAACCACTCCAAATTCCGCTTTTCCACTAAGTCTCCAAGCTCTGCTTCTAGATAATTGGCCCTGGAGGAGGAGGAGGACAACGAGGAGGAGTGGGTAGAATGAGAGATCTTTTTTTAGTTTGCTCAGTTTGTTTATTAAGAAAATAATGATAACGTTTCATCATTGCTAGGAGGGGAACTTCATGATTTAATACAACTTTATCTTCCCCATTCATCTATTTCCTTACTTTCATTTCCTCCTCTTTTGCACTATATTCCACAGGCTTTCTCTTCACGTCTCTGTTTCTTCCCCCTCTCCCTCTCTATTTTCTTCTGCCCGTGGCTTTCAAAAGAAGACTCGTCCTTCCTTGTCAGAGCTCATTAAGCAGTTTCACAGATGATTCAGGGGTAGTTTGGTTTATTGATCCCTAACGATCCCATTAAATGCTTCTGTGGGCTGGCAGGACCTGAGCAGTTTGCAGGGCAGTGGAGAGGGTCTCTGAATGGTTGCAGCTGGGCAGAGCTACTCCTGGGGCTTTAGAGACCTTAGGGTTTTTTTTTAACAAGGACCTCATTACTTCACTTTCATCCATCCATTATATGTAGTCACTACTTCTTCTTGTTACTACACTTAATCTTACCAGTCCTGTCATTCTTCGTTACATGGTTGTATCTGTTTTGGCTTCCGCTGAACACTTACATCAAATTAGTCGATATAGCTGAGGTATGGGTCGACATCAGGGAATAAGTCCTTATGATAGAGAGTTTTAATGTATCTACTGTGAGGCTTTCCTGCTATAACTAGCACAAAGCATTAAGGATGTTCTCTCTCAGCAATCTGAAAGGTTCACATGAGCATGCAAAGGCTCAAAAAAAAATATTTGTTTTCACGGGAAAGATCGACATCAAAAGCAGGTCAGCGCTTAATCCCCAAAACATTTACTCCTGTATTCTTACCACAGGCAGGTTGGCACAGCTGGACTTGACCTCATATTCTATGTAGGCCTCTCCTGTTCCCTCCCCCCGCCCATCTTTGGTGTAGCAGAGGTCACGGGTTGAGTTGATGTATCTGTCCAGCTCGTGTAGAGAGAAAATGCACAGAGCTGACTCATGTGAGGGATTGTCGTTTGTGGGGCTGGTGCTGGTGGAAAAGACTCCTAGGAGATCCTCACCCTGCAGACCCGGCCCGTGTCCCACCTGTTCCAACAAAGGCACAGAAAAAGGGTCAGCGTAACCCTGATGAACACTTATTCTTCAGCATACTTGTCACACTTACATGTTTCAGATCATCAAAATAATTTTAATATTAGACAAAGTTAACTGAAGGAAATACAAAGCACAATTTTAAATGTTGATTCTAGTTATTTAAGGGAAATAAATGGGGGCCACCAAAAATATTGGGGTGGCAATTCTATCACTAATAAATAAAATGGTTAAAATAAAATGGTTGTGATGCAATGTGAAGAACCAACAAGATATCAGGCACAAGTGTTCATAATGTTTTGACTCAATACCTGGGCTGCCTGGAGCAGATTGTAACTCCTAGGTGAATGGGACTGTGATAGGCAGACAAGAGGAATTTCCACATACGAATAGTAGGAAGTGTCTTCCATGCACACTCTGGCGACATATGTCCGGTAGTCCCTTGATGGTGACTTGATGTCACGGCGGTAAAATAAGAAGTACACGTACGTGCCCCGTGTGAACGCTGTCACAAAATGATGATCATACTCCGAAAGACGCCCAGCCACAGCTAGTTTAGCTGTCTCTTCATAGGAAAAGATGGGTTTTAATGAAAGGTGGCGTGTAGAGATGGGTGGGTGGCTGGCAGTATAGCCCCGACCAACATACATCACAGTTCTATCTCCGCCACTTGGCCGCACTACCAAACCAACTGTTGACACTGATGGATCATTGGCTGCAACATACTGGGTATCCACAGGCCTCTCGGTAGAGAACAAAACCTCTCTGACTGACCTCAGGCTACGTTTCTGGCAGGTGCCCTGGTGCACGCTGCCACATGTGATCAACTCCAATGCTTTAGGATCCACCAGCAGTAATTTGTTGTGATTACTGGTTCTTCTGGCTTGGGGACAATTTGTGTCGGTGACTGGGGGCAGGCATTCTTTGCTGTCGATTACAGGTCCAGTGCTCTCTTCTTGCTCCAACCGCAGTCCATCTAAGCCATCCAGTTGGAAAAGGTGGTCCCTGGCCCCCACGTACACAGTCCCCACAGAGGGGTCGGGGTGGAGCACCAGGTGCTGGAACTCAGTGTCATTACGGGAAAAATGGGGGTAGGAATGACCATAGACAGTGGCAAAAATGGTGAGGATGAACAGTAAGACCAGGGTGGAGTTCCCATGTAGCATGGCAAACACTCTGAGGATGGGGAAAAAAGGGTTAAAGGCTTGCACTAGTGGATATTTAAGATTGAACATCAGCATTTAATAAGGCTAAAAGCTGCTTCCATATAGCTAAGGAAAGTGCAACTTAAGAGTTTTATAGAGCTTAGGTTTAACATCAGAAATATTACGTGTTGAAAACCTCTTAAGAATTTAAGCTAGCAAGAAAATGCTCTTTTTTCTAACTAATGCTGATTATTCCAAGCATGCACACAGTTTAACTAAATGCCTTCAAGTAATATCCTGTACCTTTCTTATGACAGTTGCCGAACATGACCAAAGCCAACACCAAACGGACCCACTAGCAGGTATTATGTCTGAAACAGGATATTCCTCTTTGCCACACTAACAGAAATGGGCTCTGTATTATTATGTGTCATTCCCCCTATTTATACCATTACCTGTATACATTAATATAAAGCTAGAACAGCAAATGAACTATTTATTTATCTTTGAGTGATATCTGCCCAACTGAAATTTGTATGAACAAATTGATTTGGGTCCACTGGGTGCAGACAGGTTATTAACATCTGACAGCACATTTTTGGTTTTAGCCTTTTTAAAATGGTGCTTTGTTCAGAAAAATGGGATCTCACCATTTATGTTCTCTGTTCAGCTGAAGAAATTCTTCACCTTATCATCCAGAATGATATCCCCATCCTTTCATCTGTCTGAACAGCAGCAACACATGGGATATCCAATCTGCACACAAAGCAGGAAAAGAATGGCAAATTCATGACATACAGAAGCAAGATTTAAGGTGACTCTTATTCCCCCTCTTGAAAAATGTCACAGCACCAGCGTGTAAGATTACTTGCATAGCATTTAACTCTGTCGCTGTGCAGAGTGCATTTAATGGAATCGAAACGCCAGCAGCCACAGTATCCCTTACCATTGGAAACATTCAAAACAACTCCTATCATTTCCCATTTCCACAGCCATCACTCAACACCTCTGAGGAAAGTGGTGTATGGACACTGAGAGCTTTCACATTACAGATAAAACTCCTTCAATTATTGAACAGGTTCCCCAGACCTTTCACTGACCTCCCTGGAAAGGGTCATATAGAATTAAACAACTCCTCTGTACAATAGTGCCTCTTTCCACCTTCTTTTTTTTATCCTAAAGGGAGAGTTTATGTTCATGATAGCTACTATAAACACATCTAGTCTTAACAAAATATCAATAATTTGAAGCCTCGTAACAAAAAAAAATTTAAACACTAAAAATGTATAGATTCTAATACACAAGTATAAGCCCTAAACCAGGGATATGAAGAATACTGAAACTGAGCACTGGCAAGTATTACTTCTGACCAAACACACAGCATAATGACAGACTCTGAAAAATACGAGTATGATATTAAAAAAAATGCAATTTTGTGCAGCATTACCTTGAAGTGCAAATAGATTTCTAAGAGATTAGACATGCAGTGCCATCTCACCTAACTGTCTACCCCCTGGGGCTGCAATCAGGACAAAGACAAGGGAGGTGGGAGGGGAGGGGAATCTCTGGGAATGGGTGTGGATCTGTGCGCATCTCTGCATAACCAGGGGCCATCCAGGAGCAGGTGCGTGTGTGGTAAGTGAGTGAGTGTGTCTCAAGGCCTCCTCTTTACTTATTCATGAGCAGAATAAGAAGTATTATAAGGAATAACCTCCACGCCCACTGTCAAAGGATTTGCGTCCGGTTTATGATGCACTATACACTAATACTATACACTGTGTGTGAGAAGCCAACGAGTACACTCTATTAAACAGGGCTCAAAATCGTACAGACATGGGAGGAATAGTGTTCATGAAATATGCATATAAAACAAACAAATTCTCATGTTTTATTGATTCACACTGCCTACAGCCCTCACATCCATGTTGTTTTCAATCAGGTAAGCAGCAATCCTAAAAGTAAAAGGCAATGTGACCAATGGGCAATGTCAGGAGTCCAACAGTTTTTGGCTACTGAATGAATGGTTCTCAAATAGAACTGTCCAGTATGACCAGTGTCACTGTTTGGTGTTCATGCATGTGACGGATTTTCTCAAACATCTGAAACAAAAACTACAAGAAACTGTGGATCATTTTCCCAAAGCATCTGTGTTGTCATAACCTCACACACATCTTGCAAAATGAAATACCGCACTTGAAACTATGATCGCGTCCACTGAAACAACACGCATTGCTATCATATGCTTACATAAACACTGACGTGATGCATTCAAAACACTTCCATCAAAAGTGTTCATGTATGTTTTGGCTTCGTGAGACCATGTTACAAATGGAAGCGCATTTCCTTTTTTAATTTAATGGTGAAGTGTAATGGGTTTTTTTGTCCTGAAATAACATTAACAACACTACATGTATACTACTCAAGAAAAAGAAAATTGAAAGGAACACTTTTAAATCAGAATATACAGGGTGGGCCATTTATATGGATACACCGTAATAAAATGGGAATGGTTGGTGATATTGAAGTCCTGTTTGTGGCACATTAGTATATGTGAGGGGGCAAACTCCTCAAGATGGGTGGGGACCATGGTGGCCATTTAGAAGTCAGCCGTTTTTGTTTTTTTTTTTGTTTTTTTCTTTCTTCTTCTCTGTTTGGTTGTGTTGTTTTATGCTATTCTTGATAAACGAATAAAAATTGTATATCAAAAAAAAAAAAGAAGTCAGCCATCTTGGATACAACTTTTTCAATAGGAAGAGGGCCATGTGACACATCAAACTTATTGGTAATGTCACAAGAAAAACAATGGTGTGCTTGGTTTCAACGTAACTTTATTCTTTCATGAGTTATTTACAAGTTTCTCTTTGTTCACAGCCATTGACATGTCGAAGAGGTTAACACGTGAGGAGCGGATCGAAATTGCGTTAATATCTGGTGATACCGGGTCATTGCAGCAGATTTCAATGCAA